GTCTATGAATCTATTTCTACATTGTGTTTGTAATTGAACGTTGTAGCTGTGTGATGCATCCTTGAGCAGGTTTGTTTGTTTTGAAAACCACGCTGTTTGCATAACAGAGGATCTGCTGTAGACCGAACTGGAAATCCTTAGCCTCCTGCTTTTTAGAGTGCAATTGGACCAGTTGTCTGCCAGTTGGTCAGGTGACTGAGGATGGCAGGTCATTCCTCAAAGCCTTCTGGGTAATGTAGTTCTTCATCTTGTTTGAACCTGCCTTCCTCTCACAAGATGTTTTAGGGGAAAGAATGAATAGATTACTTTCTGGGAACCCAAGATAAGTGCTGCTATTTGCAAACCGTAAGGCCACAGCTAGCCCAAATGTGAAATTACAAAGTAAAGCCTGCTGCCTGTGACGTAGAAATCTTTACTGAATTGCACAGTCATAATAAAAGAAACAGCAGTTATCCGACCTGTACTAATCCATATTAAAAAATCCAACAGCGAAAATTCCATACCACAAACTCATTTCATCTCTTTGTTCATTTCGATATTGCAGTCCCCAGATTTTTTTTTTGAAATGGCGGACAAAGGAAATGTGTTTTGCTTAACAGGGTTCATCATATATTCTAGAATTATCAGTTGAATACATACCTCCACTCTTAACCATAGTTATGCACAGTCTTTTTCTCTGTTACACCTCACTTCCTTCACATAATATTCCCAGGCAGAATTGAAAATAAAATAGTGAATGTTTAGCACAAGAAATCTTTCATCTGTTTAAGTACTGCAGAAATAATGTGACCCACATTCATGTAGGTTAAAATTAGTATTTTTAACCGAAATGGATTCTGAAATATTTATATGGGATGAGTCTTTTAAATGAGTTAATTGCAGGTTTTAGAACTGTAGCAACTTTAATTTGATTTTAGTACTTTAGAAATTCTAACTTCTATTAATAGTTCTGTGCTGTGACAAGCTTATTGCATTTATTGCTCTTATGGATATGATTACATTATATTTTTGTATTGGCACTCTTAGTATGCAGATTAAACAGTGCTTGAAATTAAGTGCAATCTGACCTTGGAGAACATGCAGCCTTGGAACCCAGTTATGAGAACAATTGATATAATGCTGTATAGTGATATTTTCTTCTGGGAGCCTTAAAGACACCACAACACTTTATTTTATGTTTCAGTGATTTGTCACCCTCCACCGTATACAGCCATTATCTCATGGATACTGTATATGGTACTGTGATAGTACAGTTCGTAACATACTAACCCCAGAGTCAGCTACTTTGCTAGGTACAATGCCTTGCAAATGTACTCAGACCTTTTTATAAGTTTTCAAATGTTGTCGGATTACAAAAAAATACTTACAAATAGTTTTCTAACTCAGATGCTCATACAGAAAATATTTACAGACAAAATTATATACTTGTCAGCAGATATCTTAAAGAAAGTCAAAAACTGAAATATGCTGCTTGCGTAAGTATTCAGACCCCATACATAAATATTTGGTGCAGCCACCTTTTTTTTCAGCAATAACAGCTTAAGGTCTCTTGAAGTCGGCGTCTACCGGATTTGCACAATAAGAGAGATATTTGCCCATTCCTCTTGGCAAAGTTTCTCTTAGCTCATTCAAGTTTCTTGGACCCTGCTTGTGGACCACAAATTTTTCAAATTGTACCACAGTTTCTCGATGGGGTTGATATCAGGACTGTGGCTGAGCCACTCAAGGATATTCACCTTTTTATTTTGAGCCTCTCCAATATTCCTTTGCCCTGTACTTGGGATCATCGTCCTGCTAAAATGTGAATATTCTCCCAAGTTTTCAGTTTTTTAGCACTGAGATGAGTTCCCTTGCATTATTTCCCTGTTCGTTTGCTCCATCCATTTGTTTCTTCAGTTCTAACAAGATTCTCTGTCTCTGCTGATAAAAAAGCATCTCCACACCATGATGCTGCCACTTCACTGTAGGGATATTGTTTCTCGGGGTATTCTTAGTTTTAAGCTTGGGTTACACATAGTGCTTTGAATTTTGGCCAAAAAGCTCTATCTTGGTCTCATCCGACCACAAAACCATTTCCCAAATCTTACCTGGATAACAACTAAGTGTGTGTGGTTAACTCCAGGTGGGCTTTGAGATGATTTGTTTTGAGTAACAGCTTCTTTCTTGCACCGTCCCATACAGGCCAGTGTTATGCAGAGCTCTTGACTGATGTGCCTTTACTCCACTCTCAGCCACTGAACTGAAGGTCTTTCAAAGTGTTTGTTGGCCTCTCAGTGGCTTCCCTCACAAGTCTCCTTCGTGTTTGGATGCTGAGTTTTGCAAGGCACTGTACGTTCTAAGGGATGGTCTGGATAAGGACTGATTGGCATATTTATAGATTTATCAGAATTGCCTGTTTATTATTTCAGTTTTGAGAGTTCAGTAAACATAAAATGGTTCACCTACTGAAACTTGCGTCTTAAATCCCCAAAAGATTAAAAGGGGGTTACTTAAACAAGTTTGTAAAATATAATTTTTAGTTAGAGCTCCCGAACAGGTGGCTGAAAATGTGTAATGAATGGACTGACATTTAAGGAATATCCATTTCAGCTTTCACAGTAGATTTGATAGTTCTCTGAATGTTGTTATTGGTCAAGCCAGGGGCTTAAGGGGGGTTTAAAGAGTTGATATTTGTCCAGAAATGAAGATTTCCCTCTAACCATGGAATGGGTTAAAGGAATAATAATGTAATCTGTGATCATATTGTTTTTATTAATAAAAATATTTATTTTTAAATAGTGTCTTGTTCAAGTAAGAAGGTAACTAAGTCACAGCATGAACTGTCAACTTGCAGATGAAGATTATAAAATATAAACCTAATTTTATTATTTGAATAATATATTGAGTTAACTGATGGATTTCAGTGTAAACAAAATGGAAAAGTGTAGTGTAGTACCTTGATAATGTTTATTTAAGTTTAAGTTACTTTTATATAAAAGGCTTTATGCTGTAGTTTTAATTTCAAAACATTTACTGAATTTTCAAGAGAAAGCAAACACTTAAAACAGGAAATTTAGACATTATGGGAAGGTTTTTTATGGGAATTGGCAACACGCATATCTTACAACTGTAATAAGCAATGATTTTTTAAACTGATTTTGAAAGCAGTTACTTTTTATTTTGTAACCCAGTATTGAAAAGCAATTGCTTACGCTTCTCTTTGGCTTGTGTTTCAAACAACGGGTGTCATGCATAAGAAATATACAAAATTTTCAGGTGAAATTGATAGTTTACTGATAATTTTTTTCAGAATTGGACCCCATTTAAGGCTTAGTCTAATAATGTCAAGTCAGTTATTTAGAAATGTTTGGCTTTTCCATTGGTTAGATCACGTAGTACTTCTCAGATATAACTTGGTGTATTCTGGATTCATCCTGAGCTCTTAGAAAGTTTCATAAAAAGTGTTGTTTTTTCCTGTATGTGTGACTATTGATTGAGGGCTGCAGGCTGAGACCAGCCAATTCATTGCACCATTGAGCTGAAACCAATTGGGAGTCCTGAGTTATAAAACCACAGCATTAATTTACTGCCCTCCATGCTTCCCGTCTCTGATTTGTTTAGCTGTGGAGGGGAGGGTTAGATTTTTTTTATTCATCACCGTTTCATTTCTGGATTGAGAATGGAAAAATCTCAAATTTGGGGAAGGACATTTACAACAGTACAGATCTAATCTATTGTTCGGAATTCCCATAATTATGGAGCGATACGTTTACGCACAGCAGTCTTTGTAGTAATAGGTCATATTTTTTAAAGTTCTCAATTGAATGCTTATTTTAAAACATCTGTCATTTTTGTTTAGTGTATTATGTAACTTGTCCCATTGTGTAGACCATTGAGTGCCATATCGTGAATTACTTTGGTTAGAAAAATTAAACAGAAATGATGAAGGTACTAAACTTATATATGAAGTCCATCCATCCATTTTTTTAACCCCTTTATCCAATATAGGGTCGCAGGGCAGTCAGCACCTATCCCAGCAGACAGTGGGAAGAGGCCATAATACACCCTGGACTGGAAGCCAGTCCATCGCAGGGCACACGTTCACACCAGATTTAATATTTAATATATATATATATTATAAACTCAACAGTTTATTAAAGACAAACTATATGCTATACTTGGCGTTAAGAGTTTTCTCACTACTGCACTAAAATATGTACCACTAAATAAAAAAATTGTTAACAACCGCTTTGGAAGTAATTTAAGGGAAGAAATGGGCCCCTCAAATTAGTAGCATTTGCAATGTCTGCTGCATACTGTATATTGGATTCTTCTTTAGAAAAACTATGTAAAGAGCAGGTCAGACCAACAGAATAACTAATTGATTTGAGGCTTGAGCCATTTCTTGAAATAATCCAGGTCATTGGCCTCTATAACATAGCCTGTTCCATCTTTGCAGAACCCTTTGTGTGAAAACCTTCTGCTTTCAGTATGTTCTCTTAAATCATACTATCTGTAAGTTTTCATTTGTGCCCTTTGGCTCGTGTTACACTGTCTGCAGACATCCACTGAGCTGACGCTCTCAGTGCCTTTGAGGAGTTTGAATCCGTGAAACAGGTCTCTTCTTAGTCTTCTGTATTCCACCATGAAAAGATTCAGATGTTCAGTTCTTTTGTCTGTCGGTTTATCACTTTCCTTGAAACTTAAGAATGTATTGTTTTGCTGTTCTCAGGAGTGACTTGGCATTTTTTGACGGTACCAGAAGGTCACAGGTGCATAGAAGGTCACATACAGCCGGTATAGCTTGAGTCCTTCCTGCCCATCTTAAGGATTCCTTGTTGTTTTTGGCGTGTTACGATCTGCCTTTTTTTCTTGGTGGTGATGAGATATCTTTGATACTAATGGTGTACTCACAGATTATTTGTTATACTTTTTTAACTTTTAAACAAATCTCAACATAGAGCTACAAACTGACATATCTAAGCAATATTGAGCATCCATGTACGGCTTTATTTTTGTAGGTACAAAGATCTGGTTCCATCTCTTCAAGCAATGCAGTTTTCAGCAGCCATTGGCTTGAACAGAATATTCATTATTTTGGGATGGATGAAGCTCCCTATTAGAGGTGAAAACATTTCAGAGGATTTAATACAGCGACAGGTAAGTTTTTTTGATACAATGCTATCGGCTGTTAAAGAGAAGAAAATGATGATCATTAATAGATTTAAGCATGTGTTTATCTTGTCTGATAATTAGAGAAAGTAAGTTCTCATATGGCTTAGTTTTGCTTATAAATGTAAACCTTAGCTAATGAGTCATTTCTAAAAAGGGTGCACTTTGGGCATTTTATAAGTCTTAAAAAGTATAGGACTCTGCATATTACATTGGTTTACAATGAGCAAAAATAAAAAAAGCAATTCTGTATAACAAATGTATAGTGCCTTGCAAAAGTATTTAAACCCTTCATATGGTGCCCCATTTTATGAATTATATACTGTATACTGTATGCATTTTTTAAACTTTTTTTCAAGACTGAAAACATTGTTAATATTGAAGACTTCTAAGGGTAAGATTAGTTACAGTAAATGTAAGCAAAAACTAGAGAAAATATGTTCCCATCAGTCTTTACAATCTTCTAAGTCCCCACTGATGAGAAGCAGAATTACAACATAATGCTGCTTTGTTGTGAAATCATGTGGACCACTATTACTGTACATTGTCAGAGGCCACTCTAGTGCAACTAAATTAATTTAGGTTTGCCACATTAAAGGGTTTGTTTATCCATCCAAGTACAGCTTTTTCAATTTTACTTCATATTCATAATAATAACAGATCTCTTTACTGTACCTTACTATTTGTTTTTTTTTTGTTTTTTGGTATGAGTAAATTGTAAACAGTGTATAACAATGTGTAATGACAGAAAGCTTTAGAACAAAGTGAAAATGATGTCAGAATCTGAATATGTTTGCGAGGCACTGTATACGAAAAGAACCACTAGGTGGTGTTAGTGCCAGAATGTTAGATTCACACACGCGCATGTGGAGAAAGTATACAGACAAATCTGCAAGCCTGAAGCCCGTTCTTAGCACAGGATCTGTCTGAAATGGTGTCACTGGGTTGCCTTTGCAGTGATCCATCAGGTACAACCACCACATAATGTTAGTAAAAGGTCAGGTAACTGGACAGACCACAACCCTCTGGCAAGAAAGTCGCTTTTTTACTCTCATCAAATCAAATCAGTTTATTCATCAAATGCACAACAATACAGCGTGCAGCAGTAGTTGCTGGCAATGAAATGTCTGTATTGGACCGGGGCACGATTGCTGCGCTGCCTCAATCTTACCAGAACGCCTGCCCGTTTACCCCTCTTCCTGCGACGCCGTCTTCTTCCCAAGACAGGTACAGGTGAGACACCACAGTTCCGATAGTCGGCAGGAATTATTGGTGTATATTTAACTGTGCCAATATTCGATCTTATGTCTATAAGTGTTTGTCGGTCATATCTAATCACCGAGCAAACAGTATGTGCAGTTAGCAGTACGAAAAACAACAAAAAATAAAGAAATGGACAAGGACGAATGGGAGCTCACAGGACGGCAGCCCTGTTTATACTCATGAAATGATGGGATAGTTTTACATGCAAAGAACAAAGAATTTTGCTTTTCTTTTTTTAAATCACTCGCATTGCCAAATTTACAATATTCTGGGTGCTTTTCAGAAAAAAGGTTGTAACTGCAGGAAGATGAAATGTGGAGTTATTGTATTCTCATAGCTTTTGTAATGTACCTGTATTGTGGCCAGAGTTTTAAGTCTTCTTTGATTTAACATTGTTCTATATTCCCATTCCTGTCATTGATTTTAATGCATCTCAAATCATTTTCAAGACCTAAATGGAAAGTTTTTTATTTGATGTTTTTTATTATTTTTTTCATTGAATTCCTGAACAGGAATGTATTACTGAGAGTGTGATTCCATGCTCAGCACAGTTGGGTGCGTGTTTAAAGAGCCTGGCATGATTTTGGCACAGAGATCAATCTGCATAATAAGAAATGCCATTTCTTGATAGCAGTACTGTGCCAGTGAGAGTTGCTCAGAAACCAAAGATTTCTTAGTAGATCAGAATTTATATAACAATAACATCAATAAAATTAAGAAAAAAAAACAATGTTTAGTCACTATGTTGTGTTGAACTTTGAGATGAAAATACAACATGGATCCTTAGGTTTTCATATTTGTATTTGATGAAGCATTGCAATTTAGTATGGATTATTCATTTAATTTTCTAGACAAATATCCACACTATCAATAATCCAGTAGCTGTATTAACTAAAGTCTAAATAATTTTTATGCGGTTTTTAATTTATTGTTTGATCTTAAGTTGACTTGACCTAACGCATAGAGTGATAGAGGTTCCTAGTAAAGTCTTGTGTTGCTGATGCTATTCAGCAGTGACATAGTGACATAGGTGGTTTCTGGTTACTAACTGTACAGCACTATTATCAACTTAGAGGCCAGAACACTGTGTGACTATTGGGTCAGCACCAGGGCTGCGAGGCTGAGCTTTAGCAGTGTGAGCTCTGCTAATCAATCATCAATCAAGACGACATTAACCTGAAAATAACAGCCCAGGTAAGGGCTGCAATATTATTTCCACACCCTCTCCTGTTGTTTTGAAAGGCAACTTTGTTTTCTTGATGTCTCCGATACACTGTATGGCACCTTACAATGTAACGACCTTCCCTAATTATCTCTTACTGGGACTCTACATCATTTTCATACTGTCACCCAACCTTTAACCCGATTTATGCAGAAAGCAGTGCTCTGCCCTTGTCTGAAATGCCAGTCGCAAGACGGCGACAAGTGGGCCTGGAGCTGTCGATGTGCTGTTGATCGGCACTGGTCTTTAATGAGTTGACATTAGTCTGTTCAGCAGCAGTAGGGGCTGGCAGAAGTCAGTCATATCAATGAGACTGGATAATGGCATGAATGTGACACTCCAGTGTAACGAGTGAGCAGGCACTACTGGGATGACCCGCATCCAGCTCCTCATTATTTTGAATACCAAAATTGCTAAAATACACAGTATGCATATGAAAACTGTTTAGTAGTTTTGTCTCTTCATTTTCGTTTACCTTTTTATATTGCTAATGAGCGTCATCAGCAAATAATGCCGGCTGTGCGCCGAGAGATTTATTATTCAAAGAAACTTGATGAGAAAAACCAGACGCAAATTAAGTCATTTCCATCTTACTGAGCATCCGCTTCATAGGAGAAATGCTTTTGCATGGTTAGTTTTGCACTTAGTTGTGGGGAGCTCAACAGTCACTCAGCACAAAAAAGCAATCAAATAGCTCTTAATGAATACATGGTCCTTTTATGTGATGATGAGAAGGTTTGTGGCCCTTGAAATTCTTTTTGACATTTTAATTTGACTAGTCAGTTGCTTCATGTTGTACATTATTCATACCTACTATTCCACTTAAGCCTGATTATTAATTAACTGTGTAAGCCATGTGCTGGCTTTGAGTACCTCTGTTTTGGGAAGGTGGGGGCAGAAGGAATATACAGGTTTTCATTTGCAATTCCCGTGACAACTGGGGGAAAGCTGAAAAGTCACTTCTTTCAATGTCACTTCCACCTGTATTTGTATACAAGATTATGATAATTGAGTGAGACTGACTTTCTTTTTTTTGTCACATAGAGTATAGGAGGCTGAAAATTAGCTCAGGCTATAAAGTCTCTATCTGTTCGGCGTAGATGACTGCTGCAGGTTAAAGCTGAAACTGTTCATTAAAAATCCCCTTTTTTTGTTCGTACTTTTTGATGGTGATAGAGATGAGGGACTTATTTCGGCTTTTGAAATATTACAGTTGTTGCTAGGGAGATAAGTACATCAAGTAGGGCATTGTGCTTGAATTCTCAAGGGAAGAAAAAGGTTTGAAGACAGACCAGAGAAGGTTATAGCACAGACTCAGTCATAGTAAAAAAAAAAAAAGTTCTCCTTTTTTCTCAAGGTCACATATTCACACCACCCAGTTTGACTAATTACAGGGTTTGTTTGTGAGTAAACAATGGTTTTTGCTTTGTTAAAGTGGAAATATAAATCAAAGGTCACACTTTTTATAAATTTAATTTGATATTCTTGCATATAGCAAAGCAAAAAAAGATTTTTAATGAAGAGAGTGGAGAGGGAAATTATTATTTAGTCATTTTTTTATTCTTAGTATGTTTATTAATCTTAGTACGTTTTATGTCCTTTGTGTAAGACATATTTATCGTGTGTGGAAAATTGTAAGTAGAAATCACTTATTCACTTCAGAAATTAATAAGTTTGTAGATGCATTTCAATGAAACTATTCCAGACATGAAGGCAGTTTAGCATTTCCTGCGAGCTGGTGGCTTTGTCCATTGGGAAACATACAGTTCAGATCCCATCCATGTGGTGCTTAAGTTAGACAGACCAGTGATGCCAGTGATTCTGTAAAAATGGCCAAAAACAAATTTGTAAAAAAAAACGGGCAATTTCTATCATAAGCGGCTAGCTGTTCATGATTTGTAGGTTGGAAAACAGAATTGGTATTGCATTTCGCCAGATGTATGAAAACATGACTACATTAGACCTTTAGATAGCTCTGGCATCAAGCACAGTTTTCTGTTTTTGCTGCTGTTTTTGAACCTGCTGATAAGTGGAATTTAACTTTAATTGCTGTCTTGGTTTGCATTTCTATATCATAGCTGGCCATGGTGATTTGCCCATGACATGGTACTTGCAGAGTCAGATGCAGGTTGACACAACATGTTATTCAAGCCTCCAGCTGGCAATGTTTGACTCACAGTAGTTTCTGTTTTGACTCTATGTGCTGCTACTGTACAGTTGTCTGTGCTAAATGCACCCGAATGCACTCAAATGTACCCAAAGTAATCTTGACCTCTCTGTCCCGATGAACCTTATAAACCATGCTATCTTGTCCCTTCTTTGACATACAAGCTGGCTTTTTGCAATATATAAACATTATTGGGTAACCCTTTCCATGCCTGTTGTGCTGGAGAGATCTCTTGTTCAACATAGAGGCACAATCCACTTGGATAAACAGGTAACAGGTAAATTGAAATTGAGGTTTTTACTTAAACAGTATGACCATATGTGACAGAAATGTACTTTGATTTTTTAAATACATTGTATACCCTAAAAGTCTTACCTGTCTCTTTTGATCATTAAGTTCTTTCATGTTTTGTTTCCTGTAGAAATATCTACTCAGCAACCCAGCTCACCAGAGCAGCTCAGTAGACGAACACTTCTTCCTTAATGAGAGTGTGTCTCAGGTTAGGTAAGAACGCCTCAGTCATAATCCTGAAAGTGTACTAAAAAGCCACACAGAGGTTTGTGGACCTGATGTCATCCAGCTATGTGATAGATTTCCACCTTGAAGACTGTATTCTAATCAACCAAACTCAAAAGAAGGACTAAGATTTTTTTTTTCTGATTCTAAAATTTGCAGGAAATTTTCACAATAACAAAATAATAAGTACTTCCATATTTTTGTCTGCTTTAATCATGTTGGATTAAAACCATTGTCATCCCTGAAATGTGTAGTACTAGAATTGTGAATAATGAATGGCAATTCTATAATTAAGAAGTACCATAGTGTTTGTGTGGACGTTGAAAGATTATTAGTAACAAAACAGACTTGAGTCCATTTGTATTAGACTTTTTTAGAGCACGAGTGATCTGATTAAGTATTAACAGTCCATTTTTGGACAGTTGTGTGATGCTTAGTATAATTCTTATTGAAATATTTCGTTAGTCTAGTCAGCAAATCACTGACTATATTATATAAATAATATATATACTGTAGTAATATTAGTAATAGTTCATAAATATATATTAACAAAAACATATATTTTGAATTTAATGTAGAAGTTCCAAGACAGTAAATAAGAAGTTAAAAAAGATCATTCTTTTTCTAATTGCAAAGTGTTTATCTCTGCTCTGTGAGGTATGATCTCTGAAGTCATTGATACAAAACAAAACTTGTAGACCAGAACTCAGAATGTAACATTTTTTCCCTTCAGGGAAATTTCACAATACAAACCGCTCTCCGGCAGAACGTCTGTATGTGCGATAACTGGTGATTATTTTGATGAATTACTCCCAGCCCATCTGAATCAAGTAAGTCTTTTCGTTCACAGTACTGGCGATGACAGATGTGTAGCCTAAACTGGAAGTGAAGATGAATCACAATCCAAACTTAAATATGCATCACGTTAATGTAGGTGGTCAAAGTACAATATGTGTATTGTTAGAAAAAAGCAATCTTTCGGAATTTCACAACCTAGAAAACAATGCTACTGTGGTGCAATAATGTGGTGAACACAAAGTTTCTGGGCTTGGTCATTTTATTTGATTAGATTTTAGTATATCGACTGCAATGGAATGAAGATCTAAAGCTGTTGACAAGTTTAACATACTGTTTAAGTGATTTTAGGTAGTGGAGAGAAAGGAAAAGGGAGGTTGTCCTGTAGATCTCCATTACGGTAGTTTTTTCTGTTGAATGAGTTACTTTTGATACTTAACCATACACAGACTCCTTCTCTTATTCCTGAACATGTCTAATGAATAATTTTGTTGAGCCGGGTAAGCAGTGATCCGGCAAGACGATTAGAAAACTAATATTCTAATGAATTATTTAATATACTGGAGTCAGAAAATATAACAATTTTGTGAAACCCAGTTCATAGTACATTATATATTTTAACTAATGCTTTATGTAAAAAGGCATGCAGGTTGCCAGTCTCTTTAGTTTTCTTCATTTTCCACAAAGAGTGTGTGCAGCACACCCAGAAACACTGTTCAACACACATTAACTTCCACTGCTCTTTCTTGGGTGATTTTGCCCTCTGCACTATTTTGCAGCATATCATTTAAAAATAAAATGTAAAAAACTGAATAAGAAACATTTGCCTCTCTGTATTGGCTCAATCAGCTGCTGTTAAAGACTTTCAGGTGTGAGTAACCTAAACTTGATTATATTTTGCTTTATTGGGCACACATATAATTTCAGTCCAAACAGTACAAAACTGTCGACTATGAAAAATACTGATGCATGCACTACGGCAAAAATGCTTTTAATACAGAGCCCCAGTGTTCTGCCTGTGGTATTATTTTATGCCTGTCATTGAAATGGGGTTAAGGGTGGACAATTGCTCAAATGTAGGTGCTTATTTAGTAGAATTCTGAATGTGCTTTTATATATACCTCTGTTAGTTTTTTTTTACTAGATTGCACAGGTCCCGTGCTATGATAAAATGCAGTGCTGGTAACTTGGTATTTGTGGTGCAGTAACGTACTTGTTTGCCCTTTTGAGTTTTTCTGTTGTTTTGGTTAGTGTCTTCAGTGTGGTAATGTGTATTCAGCCTATAATTCTGCATGTAAAAGCCTCTTGTCTGTTAACTCTCTGTATGAAAGAAGAAGTAAGGTAAGAACTAACTGGGTGTTTCAGCATCCATCTTCATCAGTATTAATAACTGCTCTTGAGAGCAAAACTGAGACATTGCTTTTATGACAAACCAAATCGTTCATCTTTTTACTGGACATTCTCTGCCAGCTGTCCAGACGTTTAGCTGCAGTTTGGTCATTGGAAAATAAAACAGCCTTTGTGCTCCAGATTGTATTTTGTTTTCCATTGTACTACCTTAATACTTATTTTTCTTTTTTATCTCAGGCTATAGCTAAGTTTCAGAAACAACTTTTGGCAGAGACTTACCCCCATGCGAAACACATTCATATCCCAGGGGCAGACCGGAAGATGATCTACAGAAAACCCTCTGAAGTAACAAAACATTTAGTAAAAATTGTAAAACAAAGAAAGCCTACACAGGAGAGTCAATAATAATAATACTGCTTTTTTAAAATGTGAATTACCTCTGTAGTTCGAGGCCAAACAAATCAGAGAAGCTTGTGGAATATACAGATATAGTATATGTGTTTATACATCTGTACCAGATTCTGTTGTTTTGTGTAGTCTGAAAACAAATGTGGAAAATTTCAGTTGCTACTTATTTTTGGTAAATTCATTTTTTTAACTGTTCTAACAGAAGACAGTACTGTTATTTTTATTCGGGTGCATGTGGAGAATAAATGGTTCCTTTTACAGCAGTCAAGTTTATTTAATTCCGAAGTTTGAAAACTTCTCCAAACAACTTTCATTACAGGTGACAAAATGTGGATATATTGGCTTTTTGATGTTTTCTTTTGCTTTGGCTGGAGCAACTCAGCTGGCATGATAGGGGTTTAAGCATATTCTCTCCACAACATCTTTGCTCAGTCAGACAAAATGCTAAATGTAGGTGAAAGACACTCAACTCAAAACATCTTTTGTCCACAGTTCAAATAAAATTGGTAGTTATAATAGGTATAATCTATTTGAATTTGAATGTGTTCACCAAATATTTCTTGTGCAGTTTCATGTGGGGTTTGTGTTCTGTAAAAGCAAAAAATAAAGTTTAAAAGAACCGCACCCTCTATTTTTTCACAGACTTAAAGAAAACATTTTGTAATAAAATCACAGAAAACAGATCTGCAGTAAGAGATTTGTGTCTTGGAGATAAAAAAAAATGAATCGCTACAATAGTTTATCCTGAGGATTGTTGTTTAATTATGACACCACATCAAAATAAAAATTTCCAACAGTTCTGGAATTTTATTCCATCCATATACATGCATAGCAACAACGTTGTTAAGATTTTTTTTTTCATTATTAGGACATTGGAATGATCATGTTACATTAGTGTTCCCCATCCCATCCCCTCCTTGTTTAGCAACATCAATAAACAATTCTTTTAAGAATTTCTTTTTCATGGGATACAAATAAAAGCTTGAGAAACCACCCTTTTGTAATACTGCTTTCAGTAGTTTTTTTTCTTTTAGAAAGTATTGCGTCGAGAGCAAAGTTTTAAAAAGGGAGACCAAAAGGCATCAGCAAACAAAAATACAAGTACTATACAAGAACGCCGCCATCCTCATTAGAACATACATTTCTGAGTTTTAAGTAAAAAGACAAGGACAAACAGCTACATACATATGCAAAGCCGAGTGACCAGTGTATATGCTGAAATATAAGATGCAGGATTGTGCCTGGTTATCACCCAAATCAGTGGCTTAAGGCAAGAAGTCATATAAATTGTAGCTGCAAATTATATTTATGCATATACAAAAATCTGTAACCGCAAATAAGATAGAAATACACAAGTGCTTTTGTAGCTATTTTGTCTAAAATGCATTTCTTCTGTATTCTGTGTCTATTGTATCATTGAGTCTACATTACAATGTAAACAATGTGTGCTACACAAGAATGACTATACAATAACATTACAAACAACTCTGATATAAATTTATTTCATTTAAATTAAGTTCACTACTCCTATTAATACTGATTGTAAAATAAATAAAAGTAGGTGAAAGTGGCACCAATATTACACTTGATTTTTACCAATGATTTGCATTTAAGTCTTAAAATAAGGAAAGAAGAAGAAGCGTCTCTTGATTGTCCACAAGCAGCATATAAAACTGCATGATGCACTATTCCAAACACAGCTGGGTACCCCACCCCGAAAAAATAAAACTCAAGGTAAAACTTCATTTCACATGTTCTGCTGCATGTGAGGAGCAGTAGAACTTCTTGTGAGTTATAAAGTTCGACAGATTGTTAAACTGAATATCACAGAGGCGGCAGTATTTCCCACTACCAGCAGCTTGAGTGGATCCATTTACACCTTTCGTGATGGAGGGCAACACCTCCTCTGGCGCGGATTTAACGGAAGGCGACACATTTTCGTTTGCATCCGCTGGATTTTCTGAAACCCATGTTGGAGAAGGGTGACTGTCGGGTTGCTGGGAGTTGTGGGGGAGGTTTTCCTGCTGCACGGTAACGGGGCCTGATCTATCCTCTGGTTTATGTCCACCATTAACTATTACCATGCCTCTGTTTTTAGGCAACAGGGGCAGAGGCTCTTTGTTCGGATGAGGGCAACCATTTGGCGCCGGCTGCTCTTTTACAGTGTCAGTTCCTCCGTTTGTGCTCTGATCCTGCTCGCTTGTTTCACTCTGCATGACCAGACTGCTAGCAATGTAGTCAGTCGGTTTTATCCCATAGTATGGTGATATTTGCTCAGCCCCTTTGACTTTCTTTATTGCTCCGGGATAAAGGCAATGTGGCAGAAACAAATTCTTGTTCTCTTCTTTAGCTGAAATAAGCTGACCCTCACTGAAAGCTTTGAGTCCTGGCAAGGTCCCCAGATGTGATGAGAACACACTACCATTCTGTGCAATTAGCTTGGCACTTCCATTCTTATCACATTTTACTGGGCTTTTGTCAAAGCTGTCGTCAGGATTATTGCCTTCGCTTTTTACGTCTGGGAACATTGTTTGGTCCAGGTTGCTGATCTCGTTGTGCTGGGGAGCTGTAACAGGGCAAAAGTTCTGTTTATGTGCTAGGTAATTCTCCACTTTATTAAAACTGATCTTGCACACTGTACATTCGTGGTAGTCCAGAAGTCTTTTTGGGGAATTGCATGACTTTTCTGAATGAGGAGAACATTTTTTGCTGAGATCTATGGGGGCATCCAGCTCCTGGTTGTCTAGCGTATTGCATTTGGGCGCCAGAACTGCTTTTGTGACAGTGAGGGAAGCCTCCAGATGTTTCGGAACCATTCCCGGAAACACGTCACATCTGGGATGGAATCGGTCGCTTAGATTCTCGGCTACTTCTTGGGAGGTGCAAGGGCTTCCCAGCGATGTCACGCTAAGGAAACCTGGCTGCCCAAGCTGCTGCCTTTGCTCTTGATCCGGGAGACACATTTCGTACATCTTTCTACGCTTGCGAGTTCGCATTGTTCTCTGCATTGCAGGCACTTTGTTTGTAGACATGCGCTTCATTGGAGGATCGTGACGAGTAGCACAGTAATACTGTTTGTGGACCACGTAGGTTTCATGACGGCTGAAGGTTATGTTGCATGCCTCGCACGTTGTCTTGTTTGGGTCGTTTTCATTGTCTCCTAGAGATGTGCTCGGGCTTTTCACATCCGCTTGCTTCCCGTTGAGCCTCTCGTCGTTTCCAGTAGGAGTTGAAACCTTTTTTACTTGCCCCGGAAGTTCCTTATCAGGCGCTTTGCCACTGGAGTTGATCAGATCCAACACCGACGAATTCAAGCAGGCAGACTGAATGAGATGGCTGTCAGGATCAGAAGGGTGGCAGACGGTGTTGAGTAGGCTGACAGAACTGTGACCACTGTTGGGACTTACGGCCTCTGTCACCTTTTCTGAGACGGCAGAGAAATCGGGCGACTTGGCCATGTGTTGCCAGCGGCTATTGCAATAATGCTTTTTATGTACTAGGTAATTGTCCAGGTTGTTAAAAGTGATATTGCATTCAAAACAGGTAGCCCCCTTTGGCATTAGGGGGCTATAAATCACCGGGGGGTAGCTGCTCCCTCCATGTCGTAATCTGCGATGGACCAATTCTGACATTTTAGCTAGTATCTCAGAGGCTTGAGGAACAACTGAAATATCCTGTGAGAAAGCAAACTGAGACAGGAATGGTCCCATGGGAAATGTAGGCCCCATGTTGGGCTGGACTGGTGACGAAGCGAGCCTCGGGCTCGACGGCTCGGACTTTATTCTCGTGTACGAAAAATTCACCTTATTCCCAGGGTGTGCCTCACCCTTCTGGGAAGACAGCATGGGTTTCTTCTCTGTCTTCTCCAGTTCCACGTCAGAGTTGATATCCTTGCCGTGTGCGCTTTTGGGACTCTGGAGGACATCCTTCCTGTTCACCAGCTCTGCTCGCGCCTGCTGCAGGTTTTCCTCATTGCCCCGGGGGGAGTGCTCGCTGTCGCTCTCTCTGTGAAGTTTGCTGCCATGCCCATGTAGTTCCTGATGCTGCAAGAGTTCCCTGTGGTTTTGGAAGCTGATATGGCAGTGATTGCATCTGAAGGCAGCCTGTGACAGGTGAGAGAGGATGTGGTGTTGGAATGTAATAAGAGAGTCTGCTGTGTAGTTACAGATTGTGCATTTCAAGCTGGTGCCAGGAGGGAGAGTCTCTTCCATTTTGACACCTGTGAACAAGATAAAAAGGAAACTTTTCAGCTGTATTGCCGTTGCTTTTGCTGAATGGGGAGAGCAGCATGATCCATCTCAGAATGGATACCTTGGGACAATGGTAGGTCTTTAAAAACCACGCTATATTACACAACAAACTGTCAAGTGAAGAGCCTGTCAGCAGGATCAGGACATGTTTCATGCTGTACAGATAAATCTAGAGACAACTTAGTACGAGGTGCTCAGATGATGTTGGTTAGTAATGTGTCATTGGAACAAACCATCACTCGTTTGGTACCTGATTCCACAGGCCTAACAATGGAAGCTGTCCTCTGTAGAGTCAAGAAATGCAGAAAACAACGTGGTTTTAAAAAGAGGACTTTTTGTTTTTCTTTGCCTTATGGCCTGTCACAATAAGCCTTCACATTGGCGGGACAGAACTGGGACAACTGTACTTTTACCTCAGTTATCTGACATGCTCATGTAGATGTTTAGAATGAGGTTTCTTGTTTAAGCTTAAAAAGGCAAATGATTAGGCTTTGTAAAGGCTATTAATATTTTACCCTCTAATTTACCCTGTAGCTCATATTAGGAATTTTAAACTACATTACTTCTTTTACTTTCATCTGCTTAAATATACATTACTTAGCTATAAAATTAAGCCATGACTAACTTGCCTAGAGGAGTCTCCCTTCCTGAATTTATTCTAAAACTCTACCATTTAGTTTATAGTGTTAATTTGTTAATTGTGATGCACTGCAATAAAATCTTCTTCTTTCTTTTTTTCTCCTAGCAACCTGACTTCTACATGCATTTTTGAATTTGCTGAATTTGGGCAAGTCTCTTCAGCAGAGATAAGCCAAGTTGAGTTTTAAGGTGCTTCACTCACTGCTGTGGGTGGTCAGGTGCATTTCCAGAGCCCGTGCTCCAGAGAAGCTCTTGCTGCACTGGGGGAAGGGGCAGACGCTGGGGGTGTGATGGGGGCTGGTGTCGTTTTCCTCCATCGCCGTCTCCGGCTCCCTCTGTCTTCCGCTGCAGTAGTACATCAGATGGGCCTGCAGATTCCGCTCGCTTCTGTACCAGATCCCACAGGCCTTGCAGGGGAAGATGTCCTCTGCGGAGTCAACAAGTGCAGAAAACACCAGGCAGTTTTAAAAAGGGGGAACGTTTTGTATTTCTCCAATCTATGGCCTGTCACAACAAGCCTTCACACTGGAAGAGAGGATCTGGGGGTCACTATACTGTGCCATTTCAAATATCTCACCTCATGAAAATGTTTAGAATGAGCTTTTATACCCAATCTGAAAGCACATACAGTAACTGCGCTTGGTATTGGTGAGGACAGAAGTGCCGCAGTATAGGTAATGTAGTGTACTGTCTTCGAATCCTTAAAGGTTTTGGCTTCTTGGTTCTCAAAAGCAACCCTGGTTTTGTTCGTTGTGTAAGTATAAACTGTAAATGACTCCCATTCCGTGGTTCAGCTTATGATACTTACTGTTAACAATGGCAGTAGGCAGTATTGATGCCATGGCAGCCTGTTGAGGAAGCAGCTGTATGGTGTCCAAGAGGCGGGCTGGGTACATTCCTTCAGTCAGAGACATGTGACTGACAGCTTGGAGCCTAGAGTCGAAATCTACAGCGAATGCTACCAGCTCTTCGCCTTCCACAATATTTTTGGTTGTGGTACACCAAAGCTGGCCACCTAGGAAAAAAATCATTTTGAGAATTTAATGAATCATAAAGAGAACAATTTATAGTGAATATTTGTAGACCAGTATATCAGATAAAGGTCCGATAATGGCCAAATGACAGTTCACAATTTACCAAGAACCCAACTTGATGTCTTCAATTCACGTACTGTAAGCACACAAGACTATATTGACGTTGCTATTGTGTAAAATACAAAAAAAAATCAGACTGAGAAATATTATTATGACTTATACACAAGTGTTTACATAGCGGCAGTCTCTGTAAAACTGAAAGGCTTTGTGTTACAAAGAGCAATGTTAAGATTTTCATTTTCTACATTTTGAATACGACCAGCTTTGTTTGATTTTCTTGCAGGGAAAGTCAACTTTCTTGCACCTGGTTTCTTATTTTTTGTGTGCTCTGTTTTGGCAGAATGACCCTGATTAATAGTGGCCAGGGTGTTTTGAGGGTAAGGTTAGCTGCACAGTTCAGTTTTTTTTCAGTACATGCACTGTTTAAAAACGGCCGTAGAGATAACATTAAATCTCCAGGTTTATATCCTTCCTACAGAGATACTATCTAAGGCGTTACAGCATATGTTGAACAAAGGACAGAAAAATATTATAAATGCTGAAGGTCAATTTTTTTCTGGAAATAAACAACCCAGTTATCCTGAAATGGTGAAAGACAATTTTTTATATACAGTATATGTACAAAGTCAAGTTTTTATGCCTTTTTATGTTCTATGAAACTGCTAAAAGTTGAACTAATACAGTATGAAGCCTGAAGCCCAACTAACACAAAAAAGAGAAATGCATTGCAGTACATATTAAACAGGTTTGAGAAACAGAATCTCTTTGGCTAGGAAAGCATTACAACTACCATCTAATATAAACATACAGTATGCAGGCCTTTTATATGTATTATTATTAGTATACTGTAAGTACTCTTCATTATTAAAATACACACTGCTTTTCAGCCACACAATTCCAGCTCAGTTTTAAATAAAATCTTAGTAAAAATGCTGCATCTCCTCAGCATTACAGTCATTTACAATACTTTATAAGAAAACAAGTCTCAATTGATCAATTATAACCTCCAACCTAATATTCGATTTTATTGATACACTTACTGTAAAACAAACACTTTTGTTTCCAGGCTGGGCTCTGTAATTTTGGAATTCTGCCTAAGCTCACATGAAGTTCTTTAAGGTCACATTGGCTAACAGGGTGTTCATTGTAAAGTTAAATGTGAAGGAAGGCTGTGCTGTACATGATGTTCGCAATCTGTCTCTCCAGTCTGAGGTGTTAATAGAATTAACCAACCTAGTGACACATGGTGGTGAGAAAGATTGTCCATGATAATATGCTACACGTGAATGAAGGGTAAAATCACCTAAATAAATCATTTAAATACTGGGCAAAAATAAGAAATCTGGAAATTCAAAGTGTAGTGTACAGCATTAGGTTATTCTTTATTTGTTCTGTTTTTCAGAAGCTTGAACTCAATGGGCAAGACATTTTCAAAGACCTCAACCTTTTCTTTCTTAAAATAAAAGGTTTAGAAAGGTGGAAAAGTTAATGTCTGAATGTCTGTGTTCTTTTTTTAAATTTAAGTTCAGTATATCAACCAATGTCATTGGTTTCTGCAGACGTCACAACAGGGATTTGTTAGTAAGTCTTGCATTTTATTTAATTGTAGTGTTTTGGACTAAATATTCTGCTACAGTCTTCAGAACATATTCATTAAGGAGAGAGAAGAGAAGGTTTTAGCTTAGATAATGTTTATCTCTGTGCATGACAGGCTTTTCAACTGCACTTCATTTTCTATTGAAGAGATTAAAGTTTTTAATATGACTATTTACAAAAATCTGGCTGGAGAGATAACAACAAACTATGATACGCTAGCACTAAATGGCAGAATTAGGACATTGTTTTAGAGAAAAGCTGGACAATTAATTAAACCGCTCTGCTAGCTTTCAAAGATGTGCAAACACTATGTCAGTACAGTACTCAAGTGAGAATGGCCCTCTAACTTCAGCCTGAGTTCGTTTTTAAATAAGGGAAATAGTGTGTCTGAGACAGTAATTAGTAAAAGGTAGGACTAGAAGGAAGTCTCAAAATAAATGCTCAGCTTCCCTACCAGAAGTTGGAAATGCTGCCATTTGGAGGTTAAAAACTCTTGCAGTGAGCCCATGATAGCAGACTGTTCTGTTTACAAAACAATGATGTTTGTTTCAGACATAGCTGAGATTGTAGCCCCCTTCAAGGGAGGCCCTGTTTAAAAAATCAACATTAACAGCGACTGTCTAATGAACATCTAGGGCTCAGAGACCAATGAACTGCTGTAGTCCAGGTTCTATGGTAGAAATGGAACAGTATCCCACAAGCCAGCATCTGCAGCCCAGTACAAAGCAACATTTGCAGATGTACTGTACAGATAGAATTGATACCAACAGTGGCCATAGACTAGTAGGCTCTATGTTGATTTTCCCTCACAATACAAACTTTAATCAGCATGATGTTTAATAAAATGCCAGTGCACCTGCTGCTTAGACATATGTACATTTAATACATCTGTTCAGCTTTGTGATCCCTACTGCAAAAAAAAAAACATTTAAAATAAAACTTGGAGAACCATGGCATATGTATGTGTTTTAAAAGAGGACTTCAGGAACTCAGTTTTGTTAAGGTTCTCTCCTTTCTACAATGCTGGGGCAATAGATGCAAGACTGACAACACAGAAAGGAGACGCCCACACAGAGGCCTTGCATAGCACCACTACAGATTGATACATTATTTCCTTATCTAGTGTTATCTGTCCATCCCTGAAAACGCACCACGGTATTTCCAATAACAGCTGAGGTTCAATTTAACTTCAGACATATTAGCACAGGCTAGATAAACTGTCTTAACACTTGGTACAGAAGAAAGATTGGATTCTGAACACTTTTTGTTTCCATACAGAGCTAAGTGGCACTATACAGTATGACCATGCATGAGCAATGACCTTAAAGCCACGAAAGATACATGCATATTCATGTAACATTAAAATAATAATAAAATAAGAAAAGTTTAAAATAATAGTCCCCGAATTACACTATATGCCTGCATGGAGTCTTGTTTGAGTTTCCTTTGTGCAGTAGCCAATGCAGTTAGAATACAGGCTATTGTTTGAATCCTCCTGCAGAGTACCTGATAAAAGAATAAAGAACTATGACATCTTCTAAAAACAATAGAGGAATTAAGGAGAAACAATAGGCCTGCTGCTTCATTAAAACAATCAAAACAGCATCCTGTACATAGTCCAGATAATAAAACATCACTGCTTCATACAGTTTTGCAATAAAATATTCACCATCTTTTACTTAGGTTCTGCTGGCTAAACGCCCTTTTTTCATTTGATTAATGATTTTTTTTAAGTACATCTTAAGATGAACACATAAAGGATTTTAAGAAACAAAATCATGTAGACTGGCAAGAATATAATTTTCTCTACGCTAACGTCAAGGAATAAATTATTTGTGAAATGAAATGAGTGCAGTACAAATGTTGTGTACATATGTTTTCTTCCCCCAATGCTTAAAGATTTCAAAGCAGTCCATCACAGACATTTCTGATTCCTTTGAATTTCAAGACAATTTTTTTCTACTTTTGCTTACTAACCACTGGCATATCTTAATGAAAATGCAAACAAATTTTCCTCCTGTTTCGTGTAAAGCTGCAAGACAACAGAGCAATACAAATAACAGAAGGGTCTGGATAATTAAACTGGCCTGAAGACAGGTATTCAAATGTTTGTGTGTAAACAGCAGAACTCTTTAATAGTTTGCTGTAAAACGCATAGTTAAGCACATCAGTTCTTTCCTTTACCATCTGTCCAGACAAATTACAACTGCAGAGGCTATTATAATGAGAAGGGAGTGTTGTAATTCACAAAGTTATTTTTATGATTATGGCAGTTGAATATATTTGTGTACTTTCATTTCAGAACATGAGTGTATAGCATACATTTCTATATACAGCATATTGTGTATTTTATGTTCAGTGCAATAATACATATAACACTTGGGAATCTCTGAATGATAGATTCAGTGCAAAAGGATGCAAATACATTTCCTTCACCACAAGTAAAGCTTATACCTTATGTCTTATGTCTTCTAAGGAGGTATGTATTTGAATTTTTAATACCATAATCAATATAGTAGTACTCATTTTTAATACAATAAACTTTACTACCCAGAAAGAAAAAAATGTAGAGAGTACTATATAGAATGGCATTAGCATAAAGGAGTGACTCATAAATGATATACTGTATGGTATATGGGTCTCTATCTGTCTATGAGTCTTTATTAGGATACACTTTTTTATGCAAAGGGTTGTGGAAGTATGGAACAAGCTAGACACCCATGTGGTTGAAGCCCAAATCCTAGATTGCTTCAAGTAACAGCCTGATGGGATTTTGATGTGTTAAGCATTTTAATTCTGCAATAATGTAAAGATATACATGTATGTAGCGGTCAAAAAGACAAAAGAGATTTGCCATGAATTAACTATGTGCAACAAAAAATGTGTGTATGGTGTAATGAATGTCAAAAGCAATTTTTTACATGTAAGATGTTCACATACTGTATTGTATGTGACAGAATTGCAAGACAAAAGCCAAAGGTAAATGATGCAATAAAATATTGGTCGTCTAAATGACATTAAAAAACAAACGGTATGCATTAACCCTTTTCTGCCAAAAATCATCTTATTTTAGAATTAATGAAAACCTGACGCTATATACCCGGAAACCATCACTAGTTCCGTAATGATTGTAACGTAAGCATCTTGATAAGAATAGTGGCACTGAAGAAATGACTCCTTTCCACTGTTACATTAATAACAAAACCATTAGTTTACAACTATGCTGAAAACTAGTGTAAGTATTTATATGTATCTGTGATATATAATGCTTTATTCTGAAAAATTAGTTTACAAAATGCACTCTAATTTTAGTTCAAGTGAATGT